GCAGGTGCATGATGGAATGCCCTCTAGCAAACTGCTTTAGCCCTCTATTTACAGTTATTGATTCTTTCATTTCTTACATCTCTGAGTGCAGTTTAAATGGATATTTTTCTTACTAGGGATTGATTTATCCCTCTCCACAAAATGTGAATACACTGTTTATAGGTCGAACAGGTATCTGGCACTGGCAGCAAATTTAGCATGTAATTTTGATTATCAGAAACTACATGGTGATGATGTGGTAAAGTGTACTTACTAGCATGCAGTTCTGAATGTATTTTGCAAACGCGTGCACATTATAATTCAACTCTCCGATGGTAGATAGACGCGATTTTTTGAGAAGCGAATACAATTGTAGACTTGCTCTACATAATTTAGCTCCCTTAAAAAATAGTTAATAAGAAGCGGCTCAACTCCTCCATTTTTCACCAACTAAATACAACTGCAGATTTAACCTTAGATAACTTGGTTTTTTTCGACTAGATTATCACGAAATGCCTTAACTGGTCAGTTTTCTGCCAGCGAAAGACGAATTTAGATTTGCATCAACATAATTTTGCTCCCTACCAGATTGGTTAACTAGAAGTAAATCAACTCGTCGAATCTTCTTACAAATAAATAGGATATCAAATTCTCCCATTTAATATAGTATAGGTCTCTTTCTGATCAAGTAGGAAGGAGTGGCACAGGTAGTGGATATACTGCACAGTGAAAGAGAATTAATGTTTTCTCTCAGGTAATGGTGAAACCCTTAGATATAGGCAACAATTAGTGGCTCAAGAAGTTGATATTCCGCCCACCGAATAGGTAAGAAGATAAGATCACAAAAAAAATCAATGTAAATTCAAAAATGTTAAGAGGAAGTAGGTAAACTTGCTGGAAGAATGCCAGGGCCTTAAATCCATAGAGTGTATTTACAAATTTAGAAGTAATTGTCACTTGACTTTTTTAGTGAGAAGTTTTGGCTTCAAAGATCCTCAATTTCTTCACCATTAAGGCCTTGCTGGCAGGTAGTTACAATATGAATGCGTGATCTCGACAAATATTATAATCGAACTCGCTCCGCAACTACTACATAATTATGGGTATGGCTACTAACTTTGCACCTGGCCTGGGGCCGTGTTAGCATACACAGATGTGGAATGTGATTCTCACAAGTATTTTAGTGGCAGTGGCGTGGCAACTGCTAGACAATCTAATCCTCGGCTTTAGTGACGTTGACACCTCCGCCACCGCTGCGGCAACGTAATGAGCGCGAAAGATTGCGCTCCGTCACGCCGCGCCACGTCGGGCACGTATTACCTATTCTTCTGTTCCGACTCTGGAAGAAAACACATCTGAAGGCATTTACTGTATTTCACTGCGGACATTCACACCATTGCAGTCAAAACAATGAGCATCAAAGAACATTTTATAAGTTAACGATGGTACATCTGCTTGTAGATGGCCTACCTTGTGACTTTATAGGCTAAGTGTACTGTTTGCGGCCTAAACAGCTACATGTTACTCTAGTCTTCCACATCGGTTCTTTGCGGTAGAAGGTAATAGTGCCTATTCCAGCCAAATGACTCCTACATTCATGAAAATTCAAGAGCGCCAGAGGATGAGGATACAACTTCATGATTGATAACGATTCCAAACAGCTACAAAACAATCCCTTTTGTCATTTACATTAGGTACAATTCCGAAAGAAGCATCCAAGTAGAAGCCCATGCTACAATTGGGCTTTGTGTGTTGGCAGGTCGTGTGCTTGTAAAGTCATCGTGCACTCCACCCTAACATGCTGCGATGTTTCAACTTCTTTCTTAGGCATAGTGCTCTTTAATGTCTCTACCAAAATTTTAATGCTTAAAAATAGTGTCCAACCATAATGCTTGCTGCCAGTGCCCAAGACAATTCCACTGGTTTGAACGACTTCTGCGTCACTTTATTCGAAGACTCATTTGTAAGTGTTCGTAAGTTTAAATGCAGCCACGTCACAACTGCCTTTTTGGTCTGCAATAATTTCGGCTCTCTATATGAACACCTCCCACATCGTCTTTTATTGGATTATGCTGCAGTTCAAAATACGAGGGATTCAGAAATACGCCTATACCGTACGGAATGCTACTTGGATGTTGCGACGTGGGACGCACTACAACGCCACATGCTAGTATACCATTCCTGTAGGTTTTTCTCCATTTGTCGACCTTAGTCCGTGATGCGTTTTAATGTTTAGCTTTCCTGTCTTTCAGTTTTCAGTTATATGTTGGAATGTGTTCGTATAAAATGAAGTAAGTCACCTTTTCTCTAAAAAAATCGTAAGTTTATAAATTTTTGTTTGCAACCCAACACTCTTAATTTAATTGACGCCATTAATGTGTAGCCATTTGGGTATGATAATTTTGTGTTTGTGCCAAAAAAAATAATGATACATCTGACACCTGAAATTTGCCTTTAATCTGTATGTGATTTTGCCAATGCACTAGTCGTTTAACATATAATGATTGACGACTAATACCAAATGCTCTCCTGTTACCCTTTTATTTAGGATGGATCAGTTTTGTTAACAATACTTTTTTCTTTTTCCACTTTTTAGTTCTCTTCAATTTACTGTCTAGCTATGCCAATTACTTCCCATGGTCAATTGTTTCAAGATGGGCTATGTAAGTACGTATGCATATAATAAAAGCCAAACATCCTTATATGGCTGTTTTTAATAATTTGGTAAGCGCGTCATTAATGGCTATGTCTAAGTGTGATTTGTGTTCCATAATTTCCTACTTCATAATCACGCTGAATGTTTGATTGGACCTATAATCGCATAAAAATAAGCGGAATAATAAGTCAAAAGAGAAAGTATTTTGGGTAAAGGAAGTGGCAGTGAGTGCTACCAATATTTATACATGCTGCGTAAATCTTATGTCAGCGCTCAAATAATCATTCTTAAATTTGTATACTTCTTAGCAGGACCACTGAGCCTGGCATCCAAGTATTTGACCAGTAATTTCTACTCCAAGGCACGATATACATATGGCAAGCAGTTCTAAAAGCGCTGCTAATTTGAGTAAAGTTGTTTAAGCTCTACTCAAGCGCTGTATTCTTTAAAAGTTGTAATGGGATATTTTATCAAGTCTGTGATTTAAAGTGTTCTTCAAAGACAAGTCAAACAGTTTACTAAAAATTTGGCCATTCCAACGGTGCCATAACAGTATTGCTT